CGTGCTAAGAGGATTTTCCATCTTAACGTCTCACCAACTGTCACAAACAGTCACCTGGAGGTGATCCCTCTGAGAAGAGTGCATGGGGGAATCCCTTCCGCATAATAAACTATATACACGTTTTAGAAAACCAAAAGAACAAAGCATAAATCAACACATGCATTCTGTACATTGCAGTTTGCCCTGTGAAAGGGTGGTGCTGTATGTAAAAAACACGCTACGGTGCATTCTTTTAAAAACAAAACGCTTTGAAACATCTTGGAGTGATTGTGTAACACTGACACTTTGGTGCAAACTTCAGCAGCGTCAAGGTTCAAATACATGTTGTGTTAGCTTGTGGGTTTAACCTCGGGCGTCTGACTTTTTTTAAGCCACACCAGAGCTTATTTTTACACACACTCATTTTCTATAGCTCCAGTTTTACTCAGCTGTGGCTCAGAAACCAAAATTTTCCATGAGGCCCGCACAAAGGATGAGAAGCAACACAAAACACACCCGTAAGTCCTTGTGTGAGGAGCTAAATCTATCGTGTCTTTGTGCCAAACACTTCCAGAAATACTGTTTGCTGTTTGGTTTGAGTGGCGCTCACTGAGACAAATAAAAACAACACACCGCAGTGATGATCTGGGTGTAAAAACGTGCTGCTCTCTTTGCAAAGCTAGTCCTGTCCATTTTAATTCTGAAATCCTCTTTGTGAAAGTGACGTGGTGCCACCAATAGAAAGCAGGATTAACCCATACATAGAGAGGGAGCAAGACGTAGAGGGAGCTTCATGGAGCACTCAGGATGGCAGCACTCGCTCCATTCAACTTGTAGAGAAACCCTCAGGGCCACGGCTGCTTTATCCTACATATGAGTACAGTACAGGGCTTGTCTACTCTCTCCATTACCCTCCTGTCCTCCAAGATTTCGAAGACATCAGCGCACACAGCCTCTCCACAACAACGCTCTGCTGCGGCTGCTGGCATCATTTCCACGGTGACACCCTCTCAGTGGGAGAATCTCCTAGGTGACGCCCTCTATTGACACGCCTAGAGGTGGCTGGTGCCTTTTTGTAGGCAGGTGCATCCTGTGCAGGGGCAGACGGAGTAGCCTGACACAGGTCTTTATGTTTTGCTGTTTTCCTCTGTGTGGGAACACCAATGCAGCTCCATATCTGCTGTGGAAGAGCAGACACTGGAGATAAGAATATCGGGGAGTTCGCATTTGTTTTGCAAATTGTGACTCCTCCATTGATTCAAACTTGGGCGATGAAATTCACATGAATTCAAGGTTTCAGGACTGGTTTTTGACACAGATGTAACCTTCAGCTGGTTGGATATTTTCTGTTTAAGCTGCAAAGCAAGGCTCGAGGGGCCCACTGGATTCAGAGGCTGACCTTGGACGGACCATGGAGGGGTTTGGTTTTGAGCACTTTGGTGCAGATGGAGCGGGGGAGACGAGCCAGGAGGTGGATTATCGGAGAATTGTAGGAGATACTCAGCCGCCACGTACCGACGTTTCAACTCCCAAATGTGAACAGTATGTGCGGCAAACCTCACATGAAACTGCGGCCCAGCGATACAGCGCCACACGAATTCAGGCCGGTCTAGGCCCAGAGAGGTAAGTGACGTATAGAGTATAGTGAATGAGCCACGCTGAGGTGCAACTCCAACAGTATTTAGGTTAAAAAACATCCATGTGTTTCATTATTTGGTGACAGGAAAGGTTTTTAAAGCTATATTTGATTGGAAAGATCAAACTTTTTAAGATGCCAAACCAAGACCAAAACAGAAAAGAAGAATGCCATAGTAGTTTCAACCCTGAATGCCAATATCCACTGTCAGCCTTCCAGCTTTTACGCTTCACTTTCACCGGCTGTACCCTCAAAGCTGCACATGTAAATTAACTACATGCCACCGGGTCAGTTTACATGTTGCATTTAGATCAGTTTGCAAATGCCCACGAGGTTAAACCCCCAGCTTTGAATGACACACTTCATTTTTGAGTTGGCCGTGTCGATCATGATGCTAAAACAACAGAAAATGGCTTATCCCAAGTCGTCATGTGCTATTTTTAACGTGGCTCTTCAGCCCCTCGTGCACGCAGACAATCCTGTGATGCAACATCAAGGCAGGAGCGAGCAGCACGCTGCAGGGAGGATCAACAAGGCTGAATCAAGTGCTCGGAATAGCTGCAGTGCCATAAAGGAACCACTGACCCATATCTGCACTGACCTACATTTAATGTGACACAAACTCAGAGTTGGAAACAGATCCCCCCCCCTCGCTCACCTTTGCAGACCAATCTAGCAGCCATCACCTAAGATTAATATAGAACAAGAGTGGAGTGTGAAGCATATTGGGTTACAGGGACAATCACGTGGTTCTCTTTTGTGGCCAGTATCTGAGATGTAATCAGTGAAACATCTCTGCATGGAATAATCAATACACCGGAAATGCCTGCCCGGGGAACAGTTACTTCATCGGCTGTTATTCAAGTAAAACCAGCTAGTGATGTAATTAAAGTCATGAAATTATGTCCCTCCTTTTTTTGGCAGCAGATAAGACAAAACCTTTATCAGTAGTGATGTATTTTACTCTGATCTTCTGCTCCCTGAAGCTGCAGTCGTATTTTTAGTTTGCGAGAAAACAAAAGTGATTTTCTGTCAGCGACTCATGCCAGACATTTATGCAGCTGACAGCCTGATGAAAAGGGCAGCACGTTGACTCTCTGTCAAGTAATGTGCACGTGTGTGCTCTGCATGCTGGAAAGAGACATGCCTGTATGTGCGGTTTTATGTTACCTCTAATAGCCAGAAATTGACATGACTGGCCGACGATCATTTCCTCTGTAGCGCCAATTTAATTCTTAAAAGACTCCTCATTAGATTTCACAGTCACTAATGAATTAAGCTTTAAGAGATGTGTTGTCATTCTCCTCAGTGACCCCGTGTAGTCTTGGAATATCCTTAAATAGATCTCCTTTCTCTCATAGTGGTTTTTGTACTGTATGTTGTGGTGCGTGTTAGATACTAGAACAAAAAAAGAGACTCTATTTGATCCACATTGACATTTTGTGTTCCTCAACATGCGGTCTCTCTGCACACTTCCTCCAATTGTTCTCATGTGAATGAAATGTGATTGGTGCTGGCTTTTCGGTACACTTAATCCAGTTTAGATGATCCACATGTGACCAGAATTCACAGAGTGCTGCTGAAATTCAGCGTGACGTTTCTCTAAGTTAAACTAAATTAAGGCATGAAGGTTTTCAGTTTTGGAAAGGCTTTCAATACGCCCATTTGAGAATTTCTGTAAGAGTTGCTCAGCCACATGATTTCCTATTGCAAAGTGTTAAAGATCATGCACAATGTTATCATTCACTCACACTATATTTTGCTCTGAATCCCTGTCATTACACTTAAAGTGGCAACTTTCCCAGTGATACAAAAATTTAGAAGTACTGGCAAGGTGAAAGAGGAACTGAAACTGCCAGAGAGTGTTGGTTTTGTATAACTGGTAATACCACATCCTAAACGATATATCATAAGCTTCAGAGGCCTCTTGGATGAGAGGTAAAACATCTTCAGAAACTCAAGTAAGTCCAGTTGCCTACGATATACCACTAAAGATGAGTCTTCAGTTGGGGTACCACCTCTAGTCCTGGCAATGCAGGCCATCTTAATGTGTCCATCAGTGAGTGATCATCACAGTTTTTTCCTACCAAAGGTAATGCACCAAAATGTGTACATATCCCACATTTAGCCAATAATTCATGCATAACCCACAAATTTGGGAAGGCTGAGATCACGTCACCAACATGACGACGGGAGTAAATTAGAAAGTGATCCATTAGGAGGCGGGTTAGGATGGTGGATGGGTCACAAAACACGGGACTTTCCCCTCAGGACTTTCCCCAGGAGACTGGTGCTCAGAACCAAGTGAACTTATGAGTCATTTTAAGGCACGTCACCACCAGGGGCGTAAATATAGACAGTGCAGGCAGTGTGGTTGCATGAGGTGGGGGGCCCTGTAGTTGGGTGGATAGTGGGTGCTTATGTGTGATTGCCACCTTAAAATATGCCTGTGTTCAAAGAAGAACTCTCAGTAGATTAAAACCAGTGCCATTTGCTATATATGTCCTCGAAAAAGGACTATAACTCAACTATTAGAAATGTTTTATTAAATTAATCATTTCTTATTTTCTCTGGTATATTTTGTGACACAGATATGCAGTGATGATTGCTGAGTAATATGTATGTTGATGTTATCCATTGTCGAGTCTCTAATGATGTGATGAGACAATATGTGCATAATAGAGTGCACTGGGGCCCATTGTAACTTCTTTACACCAGAGTTCTTTTCCTTAACCTAACCACAGTGATTAACTTGCCCGAACCTAACCTCCGCCACTTTATACTGAGTTCGTAAGGTCATTTGCGGGTGCTGAATGTGATTGGCACTGTAAATCTGGGCTTAATTTAACCACACATACTGTTGTTAAAATGAAAATGAAATTGCACGACATTGACAAGACTGAAGAATATTATTGCACATGATGTCGAAAAGCAGTAACGGCATCATATTAAGTAATAGTGCATGTAAATGTAGGTGAATATTGCTGTCAGATGGCCACAGGTAGAGAAGATCTCCTGTGTGTTTTGTAGCGCTCCTTAGTGGTCTCAGTGCTCTGAAATGACTTATGGCTGCTAATATTTAAAGAGCCCAAAATGTTAAACCTTATTTGTCCCATTCCACCTCATGTCTCAAATTACCTGAGTAACTGCAGCCATCCTCTGCACTCTATGGGTGCCCCAGAGTGGAACATTGGAATGAACTGAGATGCACTATCAGCTCTGATAAACCGGTCTGCCTGCATATTAGTAGCAAAACTCTCATGTGAAACATTTTTGGTTGCACACTTAACCCTTTTGGTGCCCCTGTTGGCCCCGACCTCACAGCAACAACATGCAGAACACGCCTCTGTGAGGAGGAGAGAGGGGATGTGACGCTGCTGCTGGCTGCTGCTCGTACGTAACACCAACACGCACTGTCTGCAACGACAGGCAATCACTTCTGATTCACTTTACTGCCAGACAGTACTTTTACATCTTGGAGACGCCAGCGACGACCAGCTTTGTGTTTTTTTGCATCGAGGTTGTCCTTCGAGAGAAAGGATACAGGGTCCACCATCGCCTTTTTTTAGCCTCACCTCTGTAGATCCACAGCTGGAAAGTTGCTTCCCCGTGGTCAACGTGGGCATCAGCTCCAACAAGGTTAGCTAGCTAACGTAACTCGGTGTGTGGAGGGGGAAAGATGCTGGAGTGGACGTTAGCTTAGAAGCTACACAGTTTAAACCACCTATCTAACGGTCGAAGAGCTCGTGTTAAAGTCGCTCGAGCGCTTTCCGTTGGTCAAGCTAGAATAACCGGGCTGCTAATGCTACATGCTAACGGCTGCTCCCACATGTCTGCAAGCAAAACGCAACGTTAGTCTGGAGGCAGCTCATGTCTGCTGTGGTAAAAGTTAACTTACACGCGTATTAGTGGATTATTAACACACCTGCATCGATTGGCACGGTTTAATAGCGCTAATAAGGTAGAGTTTATCTGCTTGTTTATGATAATATTAATTTTAAACGAGGTTACATCAGAATTGTACGGGCGACATCGTGTAACGGGTTAAATAAGGTGAATAGGGTAACGTTTGAGCTCGCAACAAGCTAACTTTTGTGTCAAATATCGACTTTTAATTTACACGAAGTCTCTCTTAACCGTTATTTTTTCATTTACATCACTGAATGCTTTGTGGTTGAGTGACAGCCATATTGCCAGCTAGTTATTTTAGTTAACCGGTGTTTCCAATCCTTCGGCTAACGGTTTGCTACCATTACATGCAATATTATCTCAAGCTAAAAGTGTTAACGTTGATAATGTAGTTGTCGTAAACTCGTAAACAAATATGAATGTAACGGAAGTGTTCAAGACGCGTTTATTTCATTAAACTTTAACGGTAATGTTAAGCTATTATTGTTGTTATTTTAAGACACTCTTTGCTTCGTTTTTCTGTAAATATTTGATACAATGTTAGTCCATAGTCTGCATGCGTACACATTGTACTGGCGTGAAGCGCGAGGCATGCCCGAACCCAGCACCAAACTCCCTCTAAAATCTGCCAAAATAGATTTCCTCTGTTATTAAAAGGGCGTTATGTGAGTTAGACACACATTTTATGTCTTATAATACATAAAAAGAGCCACTCTTCAATTCCGCATGCATTTAACTTCCGAAACACCACTCATTATCATAAAATATCAGCTTTTACTGTGTGCGTTATTCCCATATTATTCCTCTTAGATGTGTCTCCTAGACTAATGGGTGGTGACTAGACATGTAAACCAATCGTAAAAAGGACATTTTATTGCCTTAAGTGCTGCTTGCTGAATGTCACTTTCAAAAAATATGTCTAAGGGCGTCTGAGGTGACAGATGTGTTGAGGCTAGCATGAATACTAATTGTAGCACGGATGATTTGCAACAAGGATGTTGCGTTCATTGTGTCAACAACAAAGACAGGTCTCAAGTAGGAAAACATTGATAACTGCGGGTGTACAGTGCAAGCAGCTAATGTTTGCTAGTTACTGATAACGTAATGTAGGTCACCGGGCCAGCGACTAGACTTCACCGCTCCAAGTCGTGACAATAAGACATTTTGAGGATATCGTGTTCGTCTTAGGACATAATGTGCTTTCACTGTTTGCTTTTAGAAACTGTGTGGTGTTTGCTGGAGAGGCTTAGATGAATGTTAGTGGGTCACCCGGCCATGTTTGTCTCCACACGCGGTCATGTGGGGACTGTTGCACTGTTGTTGTTTGCCAGCAGCGCACGATCTATGTTATGAAAATAGCAACGTCATTAATAATTTAGATGGAGAGACAGAAATCCGCTCGGCAGTACATCACAGGAGCATTTATACAGTAATATAAATATTTGTGTGATGATTTGTGTGATCATAAGTAACGGTACCTCCTGTTATATCAAGGCAGCAGTCAAAAACAAAGCTTCTATGAAATGTAAGCTGAGGAAGCCTTGCATCTTGCACCCCGCCACGCAGGCGCACTGACCTGCTGCTGACTGGGGGATGTTGATGTTGCTATGGTTATGTCTTCCTGTGAGGAGGTCACCAGAGCTCTGCCTGCAGAGTGGATGTCTAGTGTTCTTGTAGAGCATCCTTACACTGTGTTTATATATCCATCTTTGTCCGGGCTGCACAGGTGATTGAAGTTGCCTCTTCTTATCATTTGGCAGCATGGCCGATTACTTAATCAGCGGTGGCACAGGCTACGTCCCCGAAGATGGTCTCTCTGCTCAGCAGCTCTTCTCGATTGGAGACGGCCTCACGTACAAGTAAGTTTCCCTGCATCACAAACTATGATTTTATTTTTATTTTTCAAAAAGTCTGAGTAAAGTAATGAAATATATTCAAAGTAAGGTCTCCTGAATGATTTTAAAAGCTCACCCGTGCGCAGTGGTGGGTGAAGTGTGCGCACCAGTGCTTTGTAATGGCCAACACGTTCTGAATCAGCAGATCTGACCAACAGTGCGTTGACTCCGATGGTCATACGGCTGAAGAGCTATGCTCTAAAGGAGATGGGTTGACTTACAAGTGAGTAAAACAGTCATCTTCAAACTGTTTTGAAACTGTCCTGTGAACAATGGAGAGAAATGCTTTGTACTTGAACTCATCATGCACTTTGACTGAAATGACTTTCCATGTAATCAGTTCAGTTGAATTCAAATGGATTTATTGGCATGACGTAATACCCTTTGATTTTCTTAATTCTGAATAACAAGAAGGAAAGTGTTGTGCAACTCAGATGCAGTGGCTGCAGGGCACTGAGACATGCCATTTCTCTTCTTGAACTTTCTCCCTAAATCCATTACAGTGCTTTACCTCTTGAATATGTGTACAGCAGGGCCTAACAATCACTATAAGAATGCTAAAGATGCCCTCTCAGCGTTTCCTGAAAGACCATTAGATATTGTATTAATCTATTTGATATGCATTATCGTCTGCACAACACAACTATATTTAGATTTAAAGGTCCACTGTGTAGGATTTAGGGGGATATATTGGCAGAAATAAAAAATAATTTGCATGTTTTACCCAGTGTATAGGCATCTGAGAATTATACTCATTGTGTTTTCGTTACCATACAATGAGCCGTTTATATCGTCATCGGCAGCGGGTCCTTGTCCATGGAGGTTGTCACGTTGCACCGCCATGTTTCTACTGTAGCGGAGAACCAAACACTGGCTCTAGATGTTTTCGTGTCACTCATCATAGTTAGCATTCTCTTTGCAACGAGAATGGAGGAAAAACACTTGTTCTTTTTTTAGCGTGCAACTGCTTTATCAAGTGTTTCTACTGGTTTAAATCACTGGGTTTGTGTATTTTGGAAAGGAAGAGACCTCTGTGGATAATTCCGCTCACGGTAAAAACCTCCTGCACGTCTGGATCTTAAGTGATCAGAGAAAAAAAGGCGCGCACACATTAGCAGGTGCTAGGCTAGCAGTTTATCTCTGATATGCCAAACAGTGTCAGAGAAACACTTATTTGTAACATGAAACTGCTTTATCAAGTGTTTTCACCAGTTTAAATCACCTGGTCTGTTTGTTTTTGAGAGGAAAGACCTCTGCTAGATGCCAATAACCCCCCTAAATCTTAAACACTTCCATGCATCAATTCAACTTTAGTTGGAAGGTTGTATGAGCTAAAAATTCACCAATCCTTCTCTCTGATCACACTGCTCATGCTTTACAGAAGCTAATTGAATAGAAAACGTGATGGTGTGTAAGTGTCTCCGCATGTGATCAAGCAACCTTTCCACTCTAATAATGTGCATCACGACCAAAGGAAGGATGTGCACATGATGCCCTGAATTGGCATCATGTGGATTGCAGGAGGAATTTGGGAGGATGGGAGTGGTATGATAATGAAGAGTATGAATCACTCTTATCAATCTGTCCGTCCTCGTGTCACCCCTTATAACTCAGGTGTGACAAATACAGATAGTAGTGGAAGAGTTTCAACTTCTATTGCCCCATTTCTCTGAAGCAGATTTAAAATTTCTGATCACTTTCCCTGGATGTCTTTGATATAAACCTTAACATTCCCAATGACTTGATCAACACTTATACACTCCTATCACGGATACTGGATTGAAATACAATTAAGCATTGCTAATTGATCTTTTTAGTTCCTTTTTATTTTTGTTTATTAGCCTTGTCAGAGAAATGGCTTCCTGCAGTATTGTGACCTTATACCAGATGCATAGATCATGTCCTGGGCGTGATCGCAAACATGTTCTTTCAATCAGAGCTACTTTCCAACTCCATTATTCTGTCAGCACTCTTGCCTAATTATACACTGCGATGGCGAATCCTAAGAGTTGTTATCTTACGTTATCAAGCAAGGTATGACTGTAGTTTATATACAGGTAGACTCTGTAAGATGCATTTGTAAACCTTCACTGGCATCAAATTAAAAATCAAGTTAAAACACGACTCTTGTGCAACTTTTCCACACATGCCTCTGGCTGTTAAATACTGGGTCACTGCCATTCACACAAGACGAGACACTAAACAGTATAGTTTAAAGTATACATTATATGCTCCAAAACTACATGAGCAATTAAATCTGTGGGCTTTGCGGACAAAGTCTGTGCAGAGAATTCACCGATCATTGACTACTGTTACAGAAGGGCTACCGGTCTGTCTTCCTTTTAATGCCTTATGGGCACGTTACTTAGCAAACTCAAACTGACTCCTATTAAATCATACCACAGTTATTTATCTCAGACTTAGGACTGGCATAAACACACATATTTCTGGTTGTTGTAACACTTCTGACAGAGTTACCGTAGCAAATCTCTGCCACAAACTGCCGTATAATGATCCGTCGGCGTCTTGTCACACAAACCAGTGAAAGCAACGTGAGTCAGACACGCAGATGTTACTCATTGAGATTCACCCCTTTTAAACTTGCTGCTGCATTTACAAAACACTGGGTGCCATGCTCTGAGCTGCTTTTGATGTTGTTTGGGTGGGGCGAATCTCTTTTATGCCCAGACATCTGTGCAGGCATGGGAATATCAGTTACAGCCTCTGGTTGTGCTTTGAAACGCTCCCACTCCACGTCATGCATTTGTTTACATCTAGCATTCAAATTAAACCATAATAAAGCCTCGGTGAGCCAGTGTTGCCTTTAGGATTCAAATCCGACACAATGAGCTCGGGCGTAGCACTGACCCTGAGTCAGTAGATGCAGCCTGTGTGCTGCAGCTGAGGTTTTGTGGCGGCTGCTAAATGCTAGCAGATGTGTGCTGGACTTCCTGCTCGTCCCCACATTGAATTTTGTGGGTGTTTGGGCTCTAAAGTGACTGGAAACAAACAAACAAACACACAGAGATCCTCTCTTGCAGTGTCCCAATGTTTTCAGACTTGACTTAACTTTCCTTCCACCCACACTTGAGGCAGCACAGATTCGTTAGTGCGTCAGCCCTGTACCTTCATTCAGACTCATTTACATCCACCTGTACTGCTCAGCATGCTCTGTAGTTTCACCCCTAACATCCACATGGCATACAAAGCCTCCCTTATTCCTCCCATCTGTCCTTCTGTCCCCTCCTGCTCTGTTTTCACACCCATTTGCAAGAAACCACAAAATACATACAGTCCCTGGTTGAAAAACAAACATCATTCCTGCGTCTAGCTCTTGCACTCCCACTCATCCCCTTCTACCTCTCATTGTGTTTATACAGCCCAAGAGCTGAAAGAGATCAACTGTAGCTTTTTACCAAGTACAGGACGCACCCAGCTGTACTCAGTGTCTGTACTCAGCCACTGTGCCACTTTGCAATATTTTGGGAACATGAGGAGCCATAAAAGAGTATCCAACAATAGGTGGCAGGCTCTGAACTGTGGCGCTGACCTAGTTGAAATAGTTATACGGAAGGAAATGAGTAGAAAGAGAGAAAACTAGTTAAATATCTAACAAAAATTTTAGTCAAAGATTCACAGAAGACCTTTGATATTCTAAATCAGTGATCTTTTTCACCCATATCATCTGTGTTTACCTAATTATCCTTTATCTTTTACAAACTTGATGGATGGACATTGTAAAAATACCACACAACCCTTATGTAGTCTGTAGTACGGTCACAGAGAGCAAGTTTTATTGACAAAAAACATACAAGTTGTATGTATAGCCCAGTATCCACCGAGCAGTTCAGATTGGTGCGCTTTTTTTTCCATTTCCACTGTGAAAAGTTGTGGATGGTACCAATGGGCCCGTTCCGTACGTCCCCATTTTTGGTCCCCCCCTCTGTTGTGGTACCTAGCCTAGCAAAGCGTCATTCCTTTGGGCTACAGCAACACTAAACCCCTGAGCTTGCCTGAGAAGGACTATAGTATATAATATCCCATGGAGAAACTCTCACTGCAGCCTGTTTTATTGTGTTCTGAAAATGTCGGTGTGTCGTTCTGTGGACGATAAACGAGGTGCAGACTTTCCTTTGTCACCCGTGATGAGGAAGTACAGTGAGTGCTGGACGGAGCAGTGAGTGACAACAGCCCGCCCACATACATGTCTGAAGGGTTACTTTTGGTTCCAAAGGTACCGTACCGAAAGTGTTTGGTGGAAACGGGGCTTATATTCCGTACAGACCAGAACTAGCATGCAAATGTGAAAATGATGCTAACTAAAGAACAGATACGTGCAGGCAGCCATGTGGATTTTAGCGAGCGAATCCTGTTGATATTTCTTAGGAATGTTTAGTACTGTACTGGCCACGTGCCAACATGATGACATCCATGTTGCAAGACAAAACATGCGTGTTAAAACTGTGACACGTTACCCTTAAGGCAACACTCCCCTACTCACATTTAATTGCTTTACAGTTCACAATGAGAGCTAATCATACTGTAGGGAACATTTCAGTTCTCTGCTTTGCTTGGAGGTATTTATAAGAATATATTACACATATTGGTCATTCATGTTGGTTAAAACATGAGGAACTCATTAGCTTCTGGTATTTTAATTGATGCTTTAAACCTCACAGCTATGCTAAGTTGCATCGGTCCCTTACTTTACATTTTGCTTCTGTCTTTCAGTGACTTCCTGATTTTACCTGGCTTCATCGACTTTACCTCAGACGAAGTGGTGAGTACGCTTGAAGGACACGTGTGAGAATACAAAAGGTCATGTTAGGTCTACTGTTGTTTCAAAAGAATGTTGCAAGTGTCTGTCACATCTGAGAAGAGACTTTCTTGGGTATATTGAAGGACCAGCCAGTCGCCTCTTCAGTTTCTTCCACACGCCTCATGATGATAATGTGGCAGTGTCAGCAGACAGACCATTCTTGGCAGAGCCACATCCTAAACCATCAGCCTTATTACAGTGGAGCCTCTTTAATTTTTTTTTTTTTTTTAAAACAAACCTCTCTACTTCAGACCTCAGCTTTGTTCTATAATGGCAGCTCTCACAAAAGTAGTCTTGTTTTTGCCCATTTAAAACAGTCTGCATCACAGCTCCTCTCCCCGGCTGCCCTGCTATTTTTGCTCGATGTGGTCACCCACTGGCTGCTCCCTCACCCTTGTGTTTACGTTTGTGTCTGGTCGGTTGCTCATCCACCTCTCTCAGCAGATGACGGGAGAGTTAATCTCCGGGCTTTAGATGAAATCCTCTTCTTCTGCTGCGTCCATCTCAGCAGATTTTAGTTTAATTGATATCACTAATCTTTCCCTTCGGAGTCGCAGAGAGCTCTCGTCGCTGTGCGAGATGCTTGTCAGCCTCGCCATGTTGTCATGGGCTGTCCCCACAGAGTCTTTGTCTTGCCCTAGTTTTCCACTGGACACTGAGCCTATTCAAGCTTGAATAACACAAGTACTTCCACATTTGGCGTCAGTCACAACTTTGAATGGACTAGTTCATGTTCATACAGAGACTCAGTAGGCTGGACTGAAATTTGCAATATAATACTTACATACTCTACGTTTTGTGAGGTGTGAGGTGTTTGAAACCCGAAGAGTGCGTGGAGCTATTGTGGGAAATTCTTCGGGGTCGTGATGTTCTCGACATGCTTTCCTAACACTCAGTTGAATTTAGCAGGTTAGTGCAGTTGTGCTCTCTAAACGGAGAGGTGGTATTAGGTGATTTCTCCTGCCTTCACCGTGAACCCCTGAGAAAAGCCTCCATAGTTTATGTCTGTCACAGATAAGGAGTAAACGCTCAGACACTGTATAACTCAATGTGCTGGTTTTCCCATGTGTGAGGAATGTCTTTATTTTCACACACACAGCTGAAGATAACGAGAGCTGGTGTGGGAATCAGTAAGTTGTAGAAGTCGAGTGCTGCTTTCGGAGATACAGTGGTACGGCTCATTTCCATTTTTCCAGACAGTGTCAGGTTTCTGTCCCTGAGAGGCAGGACGGTGTTTTTGATGGGACATGCATTTTATTTTGCTTGCAGACATCTCATATCACAGATAAACACTTGATGACACGGTATCAGGGTGTCTGCAGCTCCTTAAAGAGTCTTAAATTCAGTGGAAATCTTGGGCTTTACCTTAAACATCATTAAATAGTATTACGTATTAGCTCAAACGTACATTCAGTTTTAAAATATTGAAGCACTGGTAACCTCAAATGACAGGAAGCCAATGAGGCCACGTCCTTTAGTGTCAGTGAAGCACATTTAAAGACACGTCTGTGCAGTGTGCTGGATCTCTCAAGTTCAGTCTGCCCCCTAGTGGCTCATGTGCAGCATAACAAGCAAACTCCTCTTTCTGAGGACATTAAAATATTTGTTCCCCTCTTTTTCTTTTCCCTCTCAGGACCTGACATCGGCGCTGACCAAGAAGATCACACTGAAGACCCCTCTCATCTCCTCTCCCATGGACACTGTCACAGAGTCGGCCATGGCCATCGCTATGGCGGTAAGACACTGCTTCACCAGCACTGCTGAAATCTTATGAAAGAGCACTGATGTTTATGTGTTGTTTAAATCTGAAATTATTGCTTCTTTTGAATGTGGTAGCTAATGGGAGGCATTGGCATCATTCACCACAACTGCACGCCAGAATTCCAAGCCAACGAAGTCCGCAAGGTCAAGGTAAACAATAAATATACTTCTGTATATTTTATCTTACTGTATCTCAGCATTTATGTAGCCAAGTCAAGTCATGTTTGGTAGCAGTAGAATTGTTTTACTGTCTTGTCGTCATCACCATTTCACACTGACATGCCTGTACAAATCTGTCAACACACCAAAAGGACTAAAGTACTTGTATAAACCGAACATAACTCTCACATGAACCATCCTCTTGACCTGTCTTGTTATCTTGTCCCATTTTGTCCCTGTCTAGCTTATGGTAATTGTCTTCTATCTGTGTTTCTTTTTCTTCCTTGTGTGTGTGTGTGTGTTTTGTTTTTTCATATGAATGTTCATTTATTGTTGAGTGTGTTGTGTGGCGCTTGGTTTTGCGCTGCTTTTGCTGCTTTGCAGAAACCTGGGTACCAGACAAACCTGCAAGCTCATGTTTTATTTGCACTGGCAGACGCTTCTGGTTCCATCCCCTCCCCTCCCAAGACAGATTTTCAGCTTGCCTCAGCCAATTACAACCATTTATCTTAATATAGGGCACACTGCAGACGGTGACTGGCGTCTTGCAGAGGCTTTTAGCTTTAGGGGAAATACATGATGACTAAGGATGCAGAGTGTTATCAGATTTCTACGGTATAAGTGTCGACCTTTAGAGGAATAGTAACATACTTTTTTTGTTTTTGTTTTTTAGTCATACAAACACTTTATTATAATTAAAGTTTGAAACAACTTTTTTTCAGGAAGCAACCAAGATGGCTGCAGCTGATGTCAGGCTGGCTTTGCACAAATAAATAGAACATGATAAAAGTTAAATTTGTGTTTGCTTTCTCTGTTTCCAGAGGTTTGAGCAGGGTTTTATCACAGACCCAGTTGTGATGAGTCCGCGCCACACAGTCGGGGATGTGTTTGAGGCCAAAGTAAGACACGGCTTCTCCGGGATTCCTGTCACGGAGACGGGCAAAATGGGCAGCAAACTGGTTGGCATCGTCACCTCCCGAGATATTGACTTCCTGTCTGAGAAAGACCACGACAAACACCTGGAGGAGGTGTGTATTTTAATGTGGTTTTTTTTTTTTTTTTTTTTTTTTTTTTTAGGAAATTGTATATCCATCAATTTAAGAATGTTAATATTGATTATAATTGATGTTATTTAATCATCTCTAAGGCCATGACAAAGAGGGAGGATTTGGTCGTGGCTCCAGCTGGTGTTACACTGAAAGAAGCCAATGATATTCTGCAGCGCAGTAAAAAAGGTGAATAAAAGTTTATGTGTTACAGCTGCTTTCTCTAGTTGGATTTTGGTCACTCTCATGCTCTATAATAATTTCACTTTCTGTGCACCTAGGCAAGCTTCCCATTGTAAATAATAACGACGAGCTGGTGGCCATTATCGCCAGGACGGATCTGAAGAAGAACAGGGACTACCCACTGGCCTCCAAAGACTCACGCAAACAGCTGCTGTGCGGCGCCGCCATCGGCACCAGGGAGGACGACAAATACAGACTGGACCTGTTGGTGCAGGCTGGAGTGGATGTTGTTGTGCTGGTGGGTGTTTTTGATGAACTTATCACTGGTGCGAGCGTGTCATAAATGTGTGAGGCCATTGTTTGAGTGCAGGTTGCCTAAAAATAAGTGCTGTTTTTGATCTACTTCACTGATAAAGAGGAAGTGTGGTAAAGTGTTGTGCAAGACCAGCAGAAAAACAGTGCATTACAACTCTCATGGGGTCATTTTACAATAACAGAATGGTAGATCAAATATGGTGGAAAGTTACTGGGAACTATGTGTTTACTTAAATCTGTAACTCAACCTCCAACACTCATGTTGAAATATTGTCTAAATCTAAAGTATGAGGAACATAATTTTGCCTGTGTGTGTGAAATGTGTCTGTATAATATGTGCAGTGTATACACTCCTTAGCGTGTGTTATTTGTTAAGACTGCTGAATCCTCAGCTCCAGTGCAATTGTACTGAAATAATGAATGTTTTTCTTTTCCAGGACTCTTCACAAGGCAACTCAGTGTATCAGATCAACATGATAAATTATATTAAACAGAAGTATCCAGAATTGCAAGTGGTGGGAGGAAATGGTGAGTTTTTGGAGAAGGAAACACTCAGCCTCAGTTAAAGGTATACTATGCAGGATGTGTTAGCCACTGCATTTTATTTATTTAAAGGCACCATTCAGAGCACTCAATGACACCTTTTATAAGACAAAGTTTTAAGAAAAAAGCAGCAATGTATCCACAGATAGTGGATAGATAGAACCATTGAAGGCTCTAGATCCCATGGTAGTCAAGCAGGCAGATGGTGATGTGAGCTGGATTGCAGGGAGCAAACAGTATCCCAGGCGAAAGTCAAAGTTAAAGTCAACCGCAGCCTTGTGTGCTTGGTGTTTTGCCTCACTATATTTGCGGGTTTTTTTTTTTTTTTTTTCAGCACTATGCCCATGATTTTCGCAGCTTGCTCTCGAATGTGAGTTGCTTATAGTCTGGCACTTAGTCGCTACCTTTTTATAAAGTCCCGGCCTCACCTGCGCAACGTGCCTGGAAACGTCCCAAACACAGCAAAATAAGGAGAAAATACAGGTAGAGGGGAGGGTCTCCGCACACACTTCTGGTTCATTTGTTTCCAACTTTTAAAAAAGAATAATGATAAAATAAAGTAGAATATATTGGAGGAAAAAAACAACAAAACAGAGACATACGAGAAATCATGAAGAGCCTTACAGTGAGAAATATAAATTAACATTTCATATCCGAAAAGGAGTAGAATGAAGCAACATGCTTGTCTAGTCTTACCCCCGATCTCAAACTATACTACATAAATACACTCTCCTCACAATCAGTCAACCACACATTGACACCACTGCACTCCTTATCGTATGAGTCTATACATTGTTTTGTAGTAAAATCCTGCATAATATTACTTTAATATCAGTGGAAATTAAGTGTTAGTCAACAGCACTCCATGCTTTTGTTTGCACACATTACTGACCATGTTTCTTCTTTCCTCCCTCACCTACAGTGGTTACAGCAGCCCAGGCCAAGAATCTGATCGATACTGGTGTCGACGCTCTGAGAGTTGGCATGGGCTGTGGCTCCATCTGCATCACACAGGAAGGTACGCACGGTTGTTTTCTAACGCTGTGTCCTGGACACAGCTACAACACATTGTCTTTGTCATCATCAGAGCTCCAGAAATGCAAAAATGGAATTAGTTTTGAGATAAATAGTTAATAAAGCACAAGTTCATACAAAAAACAATGTGACCTGTAACTGCTAGCTGAGAATTTAAATATATTAAGAGGAATAAATTGAGATAAAGAAGCATACGTGTTCAACTTCTGCACACCAGTCTGAGCTGTACCTGTTCTTATCCTGGCTGTGAGCTACAGTGAGCAGAGAGAGGCTATCAGTAGCTAACGGTACAAAATATCCTGAGACCCTCCTAGTTGTCATGGTGATCTGCCAAGGCCCCATTCTGGGTTGCTATGGGGACTGGGCTCTCATGCTCAGACTGGGTCACGTTCATGAACAAGAACAGAACAGACATGTTGCAGCAACAGGACATGAACATAAAATAAAACAGTTGCTGCCTTTTTATTTTATGAGCTGTTTTCTGTTTGTCTCCAGGTCTGATATGGCTGTTTGTGTTTTTTACCTCATCTGTTTCCATGGCAGTCATGTTAGATTTGTTTTCCACCTTGTAGTCATGGCATGTGGGCGGCCCCAGGGGACCTCGGTGTACAAGGTAGCAGAGTATGCCAGGCGCTTCGGTGTGCCAGTCATTGCCGACGGCGGCATTCAGACTGTGGGCCATGTGGTGAAGGCTCTGTCTCTCGGGGCCTCGACTGGTGAGATTTCAAAGACTGCGACACAGAGAACATTGTACCATTGTGAAAAGACGGCCTTATCTTGTCATTATATTTCATACAGCTTGTAACTCGTAGACGACTCCAGTCTTCACAGCAGCGGTGGTGTAAGATTGGGTAATAAAAGAACACAGATAACTCTCTCCTGTCTCCCACTCCAGTTATGATGGGCTCGTTGCTAGCGGCAACCACTGAGGCTCCAGGGGAGTACTTCTTCTCAGATGGCGTGCGGCTGAAAAAGTACCGTGGCATGGGCTCCCTGGACGCTATGGAGAAGAGCACCAGCAGCCAGAAGCGCTATTTTAGGTATGTGGGAGGCTCAAAGTAGTGGAAGCCAGTTTTCCAAGAGCAGCTTTTAAAGTGCTCTGACTCCATTGAAGGAATATTGATTAATGTCTTTTCCACAGTGAGGGCGACAATGTGAAGGTAGCCCAGGGTGTGTCAGGCTCAGTCCAGGATAAAGGCTCCATCCATAAGTTTGTACCTTACCTGATAGCTGGTATCCAGCATGGCTGCCAGGACATCGGGGCGAAGAGTCTTTCTATTCTCCGGTGAGTCGTGTGTGAATTAAGGGGAACCTAAACCACCACCACTTAAATTAGGAATTCCAGTATGTTATTTCCATGGCTGCAAAAGTTCAGTCGAGTTTGCTGCTCTCTTTCAAAGCCAGAAACCAGAGAAGTAAGTCTCAAACTTGTGATGTCATCAAGTGTAAAGTCTGGAGCTGCTCCATCGACTACGAACAGAATGGTTTTCTTTTTTATACCCAAATTAGCTTTATTCTCTTGTAAAGTTCTTGGTTTTTATTTATACTCAGAACATTCCCCTGGGTGCTCTGTCATCTAGTACAGTGGTTCCCAACTAGTGGGTCGTGGTCCAGAAGTGGGTTGCAGGTCCTTTCTGAATGGACCACAAGTGCGTCACAGACATGTCAAGTCTGCAAAAAAATGCACTTTATTTTGAAGTACAGTGACTTTCCACCATAAAGCTTTTAGTTTGAAGTGCTGTTTTCCTGCTGTAAAATGAGTGACTAATGGAGGGCTGCTTGAAGACTTGGCCAAACACAAGTATGAATATATTAAACTGTCTGGACATTGAACTAATGACTAACGAGGAATCTGGACCCCATGACAAAGCAGTTGGGAACCACTGATCTAGAACATCCTTCCTGATTCATTGTCTGTGGAGCAGCACCTGACTTTTTACTGGATGATGTCACAAATTTGAGTATTAGTACTCTAGTTTTTTGGATTTGGAAGAGAGTTGTTCATGTTTACTAATATTTTTAGAACATTTAGACCATATAAATAACGAATGAATTTTGAAAATGAATGTAGTTCCCCTGTAACTTCTATGTGCATTATATTTTACAATTTTGATTGTTGATCTTAAAGAAGCCTTGTTTCCACCAAGCAGTTCAGTTCAGTTTGTTACACGAGTATAGTCGATGGTACCAGCAGAACCACACTATTTTGTCACATTTTTTTTAATCATCCCCCCTTGTCGAGGTACCAAGCACACTAATCCGATACTGAACTAGTATCTAAGCTAGAAACACTGCAGTCTGTTGATTGGTCCAGAAAGAATCATCACTCTTGCTCTACAACTAGACTGCAGCTACTAGATGCAGTAGTGACGCAGCTATCACCATCTGGTAACAAAACTGCATACATTTCAAAGTACTGTCTACAGTAGAAACTAGAGGTTGACTGACAGTGGAATTATAAAAGCATAAAAACAATAGCTTGGAGTGGGAAAAAGCTGATAGCTGAATAATTGGTCGACAGGGAAGGGCCTGCTTTCGCTGGAGCTACACCCACTGAAGAAGCTTTCGTGGGGATGTATGTCCCCGCCACTATTGGAGGGAAATTCTGCCGATAACGATAGCTTGTAAAATGTCACAGCTTAATCGGCCAAACAGATAAATTGGTTGAAATCTAGCGGAAATTCTAAATAGATCTACAGTTTAGGTACAGGTTATGCACTGGTTCTTATGGTACTATTCCGAAAGAGTGTGATGGAAACATGACTTAAGAGAAATGCACATAGAGCTAGAATGTGTGACAGTCATTTCCTACTTTCATTGTATTTTCCTATCTTCTGTCTTTCTCAAGTTACATGATGTACTCTGGAGAGCTGAAGTTTGAAAAGAGGACCATGTCTGCACAGGTGGAGGGAGGAGTTCATGGACTCCACTCGTAAGTACATATCACACACAAAAAAACACCTTTGCTTTATTAAACAACACATTTAGCTACTGAAATAGAGAACATTTTATTCTGGGGCAACAAAACATGTAACCTGTTTTGTTGCACTCGCCATAAATTTGCTACTTTACTTTGTCCTCTGTGGGGATCATACACAAAGTTTGATACTGTTGATCAGCTGCAGTATTCCATTTTTGCAGCCTCCTTAAATGGAAGGTTGTTTTTGAGGTTGTTTCTACAGTGAGAGCAGGTTACATCTTCTTCAGAAGCAGGAACGGGAACTGTGGTTTCTTTGTTTGCTCTGCAAATGATTTCATCATTGCTAAGAAACAGCTTGGCTCTAATGCCCCTGGACTTCCTGTTAGGTGTTGGCATTTGCAAGCACTGCAGTGGAAAGTAAACCTGCCTTTTAGCTGCAATAAAGAAAGGATGATGCAGCAAAGAGTACTGGCATTTTTACTTGGCATTATCATTAGCTTGATTAGGAGCACAGAGACTCTCCTGTTGGTCCCCACACTTTGTACCCACATACTCCATAGTGTGAATTCAGAAGCACATTGAGTGATTCACTGAATTTAAGGGAGGACAGGCAAACCAGCAATACTTTTACTTATATCCCAGCAAACGCTGATTTCTCTTCCGATGTTTCTCTGCCTCCACAGTTACGAGAAGCGGCTTTACTGAGCAGGGGGGATGGATCGCAGATCATCGGTGCACGTGACATACCCAATCTTAACAGTGACCAAATGTTGAAAACCGCCACTTCTGCTAAAAATACGCACCACCCACTACACCCTCTCTGCCCCCTCTCCTCCGTTGTATCCCACCGTTACTCACTCTCTCTCCGATCCCCGGCCGGCTGCTTTCGGGAAGAAAGAGACGTAGTAGCGATGTGAGAATCTCCAAACTGACACCTGGGATTTTTGCACTCAAGAAGCGGCGCATCAGGGTTTTTCCAAAATGACATACACACACCTGTATCTTGAGTATGCAGCTGATCCCAGTTTAGTGCGTGTGTTGTTGACAGTAGTGAGAGAATGAATGCGTGTTTGGTGTGTGTGATGTAGTTAAAAATGTGTCATGGGACAAACAACGTGAAGGTGCACTGTGTTTATTTGTCCTGTTCATGTTAGTGAGTCTAAACCAGCCATGGTGCAGATCACATCAGCATCTGATGCGGCTTTTTTTGGGATCCACGCTGACCAGCACGTTGCCCGTCTAAAGCCTGTCACACCCCAGCTATTTAACACACCTGTACGTGAAGAACACACTTCTCTATGTGCAGCGTGTCAGTGTATCCTGGCAATCTTCTATTTTTGTTTTTGCAATGTTACAGGTAGAAGCTACTGAATGAACAGTAGCTCTTATATTTTGTTTACTTCCTTTATTGCGGATCCCGAGGTACGAGACATGGCCGTGACTATTATCCTGTCGACTTTGTGTTCACCCCTACGATCAGCAGACAGGACCCAGACCCACAGTTCACCACTGTGGACGTTCATTTCCCCTTCAACGACATCATGACAAATAATCAGCGTCCCATCTCAGTGCATAGTGTTCATATGTTGAGCATGGAAGGGACCAAAAGCTGAAGATCAGGTATGTTTGAAAGAACTAAAAATCAAATCAAAAAATAGTTCCTAATGAGGACTATTTCTCTGGCCGAAATTTGAATACTTTTAGATAAAAGCAAACTTTATATTAAACCTGTATAGTCTCGGGGGGCTTTGAAACTGAGCATGAAGTGTTTTTGATATGCATGTTTGTTTTTTCACAAAGCCGAAACCTGGTTGTATTTATATTCTGCTTTGTTGTAATTGCATACATACTGCCAAGTGTCTTTACACTTCTTTTCTTTTGTAATTTCAAAACCAAAATTGGCGCAACGAGTTGCTTGTTACCCCTCGTCTCTTGTCCATTCCTGCGTTCTCACAGTGTGGCATAGGTTCTCAGCGATTAGGTTTATTTTATTTCTTTTTTTTTTTTTTTAATTTACCGGAGATATGCCTTGAAACGCGGATGGATAAAGGCTGCACACAACAGCTCAGTGAAAAAGCATAGTGCTACACACCCTCTCGCCTCTTTTTCTTACTTTGAAACAGCTGTGTTTGTTATCATTCAGCTTCTGTAGGAGTAGGCTTTTCTAACATTTTCATACTGGATGTCCTTTTGGCCAGATGTAATTTTTTCTTTTTTTTTTTTTTTTTTTATTAAAATGTCCCAGATTGTAAGAGTTGAGTTGCTTTCTCTAATGTGCTAATGTACTTTACCCCGCACAGGGTTCACTTGACTAACAAAAGCCTTGCAATTGAACTAAATTGCGAAAAAAATGTACATGGAAATATATGGAGAAATATATACCTATATACAGTTGGAAATGACTGCTGCTTGTTTTCAGTGTCCCATCTAAAGAGAGAATTCAGGTTTTTAAAATATCTTATTTGTAAAATACTGAGTCCAGTCAGTCCATCTGAAAAGCTCAAACACAGTGATAACTGAGGTGTTAGGTTTACGTTATTGTTTTTTTGACGAGTTGCACTTTTGTATGATTTCAGCTTCATTATTTCGAAGCAGCTACAGTTGTCAGAACACAGTCGTAGCTGCAACCAACAACCAAAACAATAAACAAGGGCTTTTTAGATGGATGGAAAGACTCAGTATTCAATAAATCCATCAAGGGTTTTTGAGGAATATCACTTCAGAACATGTTTACAGTAAAACACTCAAAGGAAAGTTGCTTTTGCTTTCAGTATGGTTAAAAAAAGAATAAATAAATGAAACTGTGTATGGACTATTGTCTTATTGAACTTGAACTGCACACGAGGATGCATTACTGAGCGGTCTGGCCTTCACCTGCAATATGTGACTCAAATTATCATGCACAGACCAGGAAGAGACTCAAAATGACCACAAAGAGCTGCAAACAGACACAAAACGACTACACAAGGGGCAGAACAACCACAAAAGACACAGAGCAATCAAAAAAGGCACAACACAACAACAAGCAGACACAAAGTGACCATAAAGAGACAAATATACATGCACAACGGCTACAAAGAGATGCAAAATAATACTCCTATTCCTGAGAATTGGGACAGAATCCAAGTTTTGGGGGTTTTTGATTTTTACTCTTCAAATAGACTCCGAAAATATATTTGAAATAATCAAAGTCGTGACTATTGAACCCTGTAATAAGCCAACGTCCCAGTGATTTTTTTTTTTTTTTTTCATTAATAGCATACTTAATGTCAGAGGTAAGATCTAATGGAGATGATGTCTTACAGAGTTGACAAAATGATATATATTAATTAATTTCACAGTAGTCGTACTGAGTAGACATTTTGTTTTTCATGTTGCTCAGAGTTCTCTTAATGCTAATCAAAATACCCATTTAAAAACCGTAAGTCTTATTTAGTTAAGAGGAAGAATGGCTATAGAATTGACCTGGTATGGTTGATACACACTCTATAGCAATAATTAGTGAATTCATCAAAAAATAGAAAGATTTCCAGTACTTAAGCAGCTTTCCCGCCTTTTTGGAAACCAGGAAGTGAGACAAAAGGCCGTAGGATATAGCTTACTTCTTTTACACCTGATTAAATTATGTTTTTGTTAAAAATCTTAAGAGTTGATAAAGATCTGGGACACATCATTAAAGGGCTGACATTTTCACCAAAAATATATATTGTAAAACAAAATGATTATAGCAGAACATTTTAACACCAATACTAAAAAGTACGTAGTGTTAGTTTTAGATTTTGAAGGCAGCTTTGACACGTTTTTTAATTGATTGAATTTTATTTCATAATATTAAAACCTTTAAAAAATAATGTTTCACCCCAGTGTGTTGATAAGTTATAATTTTGAGGGTTTTTTTTTTTTATAAGGTTAGATGTGATTTGTCCCAATTCTCAAGAATGGAATTAGATTCAAAATCACCACAAAGTCTGTGTGTCTTGCTCTTGTCAGGGCGTCTACAGGTCCTTAAAAAGTCTTTAATGTCTTAAATATTTTCAGTCACATTTCTGCCGTCACAGTTTAGAATCATTGGGCAGACCAAAGAACTGCAATAATAAATAGCATTTTTGACAGCAGCAAAATTTGGTTATTTTTTTTACATTAAACTTGAACTCACCCAATTGTTGTCATTTTTCTCTACTGTTCATTTTGACCTGAGTATCTTGGAAAGAGTACTATAACAAAGAGTATATATAATGTGTATTTCCATTGCAGATTTGGTCCTAAATTTTATATAAGATGGAATTAAAAACGTCTTAAATTCAAGTTAGTTATATATGCAGACACCCTGCTTGTGTAGGAGAGGTGGGCGGGCCCTTTGCATGTCTGTACCCATCATCTGAACTGTCTCATAATCTGCCCATGACTGTGGAGTCACCTTGAACCTCAAATAAAAGAAGCCGGATGTTATAAAACAAACTTTATTAAACAATATGTTGAGCAAAGTTATGTTTGAACATAAATAAATTAGTAAGCCGGTCATAGAAGATGCTGTCAGTGTATGTAGAAGCACAGTCCATTGGTGATAAATGTAGGAGGATAACATAGTGTGCGTTTCACCAGTAGAGGGCACTGCTGCACCATTACTGCAGGTAAGATGTGCGGCATGTTGGTATGGAGCTTTTATAGTTTGACAAACGTAATTTTAATCCCTCTTATCCAACATGAGCTTTAATGACAGTGATATTCTGAGTTTGAAAGCATATGACTTCAGTAGTATTTAATAAGTGCTTAATTTTAGTCACAGTACTATCTATTGGAATGTTGGAATGCAATAAATCATTTGTACAAATAAATTCTGATCCCCACTCAGTAAAATGTCTTCTGACTGTATCAAACTTCGCCAACCTTTATCAAACATGTAAAAGTTACAAATTACCTTTTGGCTTTTGACATTCTTGGCACTTAGACCCTCATAAACATTCACTAATGACCACATAAGAAAGCTCATCAAACCTCCAAAAACTTTGTTGGCAGCTAAAGGTCTTTCATGGTGAATGCAAAAGCTACCATGCACTACCAAAACCCTGGACAGTCACCCCTCTGACATTTTCCTTAATAGGTTCTCTGAGCAACCCTTGTTTGACCAGACTGTCCTTTCATAAATCAATAGTCTCACTGCAGATGCTCAAAGCATCGATTTGTCTGCAAACACTGATGAACTCCTCCTGCACTGATCGGTCTGCCTCGGACGACATGTCCAGGTCCAGGCTCTCCTGTGAGGCCGCACCCAGTGTTTGATAGTGCCTCTGTGGGTCGGCGTGGCCCGTCCCCCCTTGCTGGAGAAGCTGCTGAGCATGTCTCTCCGGGCTCGGGCAGAGGACCAGCGAGGAGCCTCCGAAAGACTCTCGGTAGAGGGAACAGGAGGAGGAGCTGCCCCTCCAGCGTTCAGGAGATGAGTTGCTGGAGGAAGAGGACAGTGAGGGAGATGGTTGAGCAACAGTGTCTCCTTGAGATTGGGCCGAAGGGGGCGGGGGTAGAGAGGCCATCTCCACACAGGAAGAGGTCCGATAAAGGCCAGGATCAGTTGTGAGGGGATCACAGAAGCCGTTGCTGGGAAGTGCACAGTGGTTGTTTATGGATAGATCACTGCAGCGGATTGGCCGAGTGGGGCTAAAGAGGCTCATGGGAAAGAGGGCCTCGCTAAAGAGTGCCTCGTCGATGCTGCGACGCAGGTTGATGGGTGATGGTGGGCGCAGGTCTGTGGTGGAGTCACTGGTAAACGAGGATCCACCTGAGGGCTCGCCGCCTCCTCCGTCCTCTGGTTTTACTGAACCATGCAAGTCCAAATCCAAATCCAGGTCTCGGTATGCCAAGGCCCGGTTGCTGTGGTAGAGAAGGTCCAGACCGTTCAGACTGCTACCAAGCCTCTCATCCACTAGAGTATAAAGAGGTAGGCTCTCCGTCTCCCCCAGCCCAACGGTATCAACGATTGCAAGCTTCTCTTGCTGGCTCAGGCTCCACTGGTAGCTCCCAGGCAGGATGGGTGACTTGGACGCCAACAGTTCAGTCCAGCAGCTCCCTGCATCTGGGAGGTGGTCAGAGCAGTAGACTGGCTGCGCAACCACCAAGGCTAAAGTGAGACAAACCCCGAGCTCACACAGTCTGCAGCTGAACTGAAAAGCCCACCAGGGCCAAGGGTGGAACACCTCCTCTCCACCTGCAATGCCCATAGCATTGAGCATTGCATATAACTGCAGTCCTGCACATGCTAAACAAAACAATGCTGAAATACAAACGGTTACAGCTGCACGGTCCCAGTCCCGGCTCTCAGCAAAGGGACAGCGGTTGTAGCGCTCAGCAGGTGTTGGAGACGTGTTGTTCAGGTGGTAGATGTGCTTCGAATCTGCCCGCACGTAGATGTAGAACACAAAATAGGCAGCAGACAGAAACGTGGCCAGTGCTACGAAGGCTCCACGGGAGATGAGGGAAAGGAAGAGGCAAAGGGGAGGCTTTTGCTGGTAGAACTTCAGTAACGTCACCGGTCCGAATGCAGCACCAAAGTGCAGGACAACCAGGCAGGCCAGGAAACACGGTCTCTGGAAAGCTGAGTAGGAGAGCTGCATTCTTGAGCGCATGGAGAGGAGAAGGAAAACCAGTCCAAAAGCTGCAGTCAAGCAGGGAAACGGTGCTTCATAAAGTATCAGCGAGGCCTCTGTGGAGGGCAGGCGGTCCTGGTGGCCATAGGCATCATACAGGAGTGAGAACGACCTGGTGCAACCAGCAGCTAGTAGAAACAGGCTGACCAGGGCAAAGTAGCCACATCCGGATGGGCATCGTAGAGGCAAACAGAGCAGATTAAGCGCCGAGGCTAGCGTTAGCATCGCAAAGACGCAACCAGCGCCATAAACGTGTGCCTCCCAGGCCAGGCCCCACGCTGCCATGGCACTGTTCCAGTCGGTGTACAGCGGCACCAACATGGGTGGAGCCGGGATCAGGAAGGGGTTGACTGATTGGTTTGGGGCAGTGGTGTTTTGTGTGGGCTTGACGTCCGAGGCTGTCGTGGAGTCCCAAGTGTCGGAAAGGTTGCAGATCCCGGAGCGCTCTTTATTGCAGTCTGGAAGGAAGGTGGCGTCACTGTCCACAAAGTTGGGCATCCAATCTTCTGTGTACACAGGAATACGGGGCATTTTCGTGGGAATGCCTGGAAAGAGAGTACAAATTCAGTTTGATCAAATTGTCTTTAAATAGCTGGCAGGAAAAATAAGATTAATGTTTGAATGAGTCACTGAAAAGTAAGAGAACAAGAAAATCCAAAACTTGGAGAAGGCAACAGCTGTAAACGTCTACTTTTAATTCACTTAAAAGCATAATAATCGTCCATTCATGAGGATACACTGAAGCATTTAATCAACATTCAAACTATCTGAGCCAGAGAACAAATTGGCTCAGATCCATAATGGTAAAAGTGTGCTTTCCTCCTAATGTGCTAATCCTGTTTAAAAGCTTGTAGGAAGGCAACTTCAAACTGAGCTGGGCCCAAATCAGAGGCGTGTGTGTGTGTGTGTGTGTGTGAGTTAGAGATCAGCCCACTCAGAACCACAGAGCCAGCTTCTCTTGCATTACATAAGCCATCTGGAGTTTCCATGCAGTTAATTATGATTGTGTTAGACGTGTTTTAGCACTGCAAAGGAAATGGTTTAGCTTCGGAAATTAAGGAGTATCCATGTGTAGATGTGTTTGCGTGAACATTACGGAGACGCCTGCAGAGCTCATCTGCGCCCGTACGTGTTTAGGTAGTTCAGTCACTGGAGGATGGCTTGAATG